GGTTGAGTCACTGCCAGAGGACAATGAACTGGTTGATCTACCAGAGGTAGACAAAGGGGTGGGAGAGGTTTGATGGATCTACAAACGCTGGGCAGGAAGGATGATGGAGGAAGGTGAATAGACTTGAGCATTGCTTGAGTGGTGCTTAATCAAGGACAATGGGTGAAGGGGAAGTCAGGCTTGGGTGTTGAAGGGATTGTGCCCGGGTTTATCAATAAGTCCTGGGTGGCAAACTTAGAATGAGAAAAAGTTCAAAATGTAGAATGAGAAACAATTATAAATTGTAAATAAATGTCTGACAATGCCTACAAATGAATTATAATGCAGAAGTGGAATGAGAATGAGGTTTGAATATGAAAGAATAAGGAATTGATTTTGGGACAAAAATATACTCTATGCTTTATTGTAAGGTATTATAAAATATACATATATAATTATGTATTGTGAGATACATAATAGGCTTTTCTTTCAATTTTGGTATATTAAAAGAAATCATTAGTAAATAGAAATGATGAAATATTTAACACAGAATATATAGCAATGATGAAATTAATATAGTTGGAAAACAGATTAGTTATAAAATCTGGAATTCAAAATGTTTGAAATGTCTAAAAAATATAATGAAGAGGAGTTGGGGAGAAGTATTTTGTGTTTATATATCTTGTAATGCATTTTTCGGTATTTCTTATGTATTATTATATTTCTTATAAGAACATAAGAACATAAGAGACGCCAATGTTGGATCAGGCCAAAGGCCCATCCAGTCCAACCCTCTGTGTCACACAGTGGCCAGAAATACCAGTGCCATCTTCCAAATGAGGTCTCACCATTGATTTATATAGGGGCATTATTATATTGGCTGATCTGTTTTCAATACCCTTCCTAATAATCCCCAGCATAGCATTGGCCTTCTTTATTGCAGTCACACACTGTCTCGACATTTTCAGTGAGTTATCCACTACAACTCCAAGATCTCTCTCTTGCTCAGTCTCTGCCAGTTCAGACCCCATCAATGTGTATTTATATTTAGGATTTTTGGCTCCAATGTGCATCACCTTGCACTTGGCCACATTGAACCCCATTTGCCATGTTGACGCCCACTCGCCCATCCTTGACAGATCCCCTTGGAGTGCCTCACAATCCTCACTGGTTTTCACCACCCTGAACAACTTTGTATCATCCGCAAATTTAGCCACTTCACTGCTTACTCCCATCTCCAAATCATTAATGAACAAGTTAAAAAGCAGTGGACCAAGTACTGATCCCTGCGGTACCCCACTGCTTACCACCCTCCACTGAGAAAATTGCCCACCTACACTCACTCTCTGTTTTCTATGAACTAGCCAGTTTTTGATCCATAAAAGGACTTGTCCTTCTATCCCATGATTTTTGAGCTTACTTAGGAGCCTTTGATGAGGAACTTTATCAAAAGCTTTCTGGAAGTCAAGGTAAATAATATCTATTGGATCCCCCTTGTCCACATGTTTGTTCACCCCCTCAAAGAACACTAATAGGTTAGTGAGACAAGATCTTCCCTTACAGAAACCGTGCTGAGTCTGCCTCAATAGGTTTTGTTCATCTATGTGCCTACTAATTCTTTCCTTAATAATGGTTTCCACCAATTTACCCGGTATCGACGTCAGACTGATTGGCCTGTAATTTCCCGGATCTCCTCTGGAACCCTTTTTAAAGATGGGAGTGACATTAGCTACCTTCCAATCCTCAGGAATGGAGGCAGATTTTAAGGAAAGATTACATATCTTTGTCAGGAGATCTACAAGTTCACATTTGAGTTCTTTCAGAACTCTCGGATGTATGCCATCTGGGCCTGGTGATTTTTCAGTTTTTAAGTTGTCTATCAGTTTTAGGACCTCCTCTCTCATCACCTCAATCTGACTCAGGTCTTCCAACACCCCTCCTGAAATCAGTGGTTCTGGAGTGGGCAAGCACTTCTCATCTTCCACAGTGAAGACGAAGGCAAAAAATGCATTTAGCTTCTCAGCCATTTCCCTATCATCCTTCAATACTCCTTTTAACCCTTCTTTTCTTTTGTATCCCTAATATATCATTATCTTGTTTTTGTTTTTTAAAAAATTACATTTTAAAAAGTTTGAGTTCAGTGGCACCTTTGACACCCGCAGGGTTTGGTTCTGGATGTAGGCTTTCATGTGCATGCACAGAGGCAGTTTGGTGTGGCAGACTCTAATCTGGAGAACCAGGTTTGATTCCCCACTCCTCCACATGAAGCCTGCTGGGTGACCTTGGGCCAGTCACAGGTCTCTCAGAGCTGTTCTCAAAGAGCTCTCTCAGCCCCACCTACCTGACAGGGTGTCTGTTGTGGGGAGGGGAAGGGAAAGGAGTTTGTAAGCCACTCTGAGGGAAGAACGTGGTATAAATCCAACTCTTCTTCTTCTTCTTCTTCTTCTTGCTTGTGTCCAGCTTGTTGGTCTTGTCGGTGCCCCAGACTCAACCATTGTTCTATTAGTGATTAATGCTTGATAATCAGGGATCATTTCCTGCAGGAGTGCACAGGAGCAGAGCTCCGGCAGTAAAGAGCCCAGGGGGCGGGCACATGTAACAAGACCCACCCCCTGCTCCCAGCAGCCCTCAGTCAGAGCAAGAAGCAGCCAGGTAAGTTGCAGAGCTCCCCCTGGCTCCCCGGTCCAAAACAGTCCAGTGGCACCTTTAAGACCAAGTTTTATTCAGGCACAAGCTCTCCCTCCTCTGCGAGGACTAGGCCTGTAGCCAGGATTTTGTAATTCCAGGGGCCTTTAAATAAGTCAGGGGGCACTGACGTCACAAAATAACAATAAACATTTAAAACCCCACTTTTGCATCGTTTGCACTCTGCTTGCCTACATGGGGAAGCAAGCCATGCTTGGGGAAGGGGCGGTGGTGGGGAGTCCTCCAGGTGGCCCAGAGAGTCAGGGGGCCTGGGTGCTGGATGGAAGTCAGGGGGCCTTGGCAGGAAGTCGGGGGGCAGGCCCCGAAATGCCCCACTGTAGCTATAGGCCTGTCTAGGAGCAGAGTTGCCCAACCCCCCCCCCCAATAGCTAGCAATCCAAAAGAGTCCAGTGGAGCCTGAGCGGTGGGTGTTGCCTTCTGACACACTTCCGGTGATGTCAGGGGGCGTGGCATATGCAAATGAGTTATGCTAATGAGCTCCTGCACCTCTTTTTCTGCGAAATGACCCCTGTTGATAATAAATGCTGGTTTTTATTGAAACAAAATAGATCCTCCTGGGTGACCTATTGTTCTCAGCCATGTGTGTCTCCAGGGCAAGGAGAGGACAGTAGCCAGCCAGCCTCTCTTACTCATGCCTTGAAACCGCTTTCCCAGGCCCCTGCCTGACTGGTATCCATTTTGGCTCACTCTGGCCCATGCAGTGCCCTGCACTCAAGGTTTCAGGGCGATGTGGAGGGGGGGGTGCTTTTGCCTTAAGCTGCCCCTCCCGCTCCCCAGGCCCTGCTCTCCCCAGGCTCCATCCTCAAGACCCCAGGAATTTCCCCCCAAAGAGGTGGCTGCCCCAGCTCTTCTAGCCGTTTACCCAGGAGCGGATTCACCATGAAGCAGACGAAGCAGGTGCTTAGGGCACCAGGGCCAAAGGGGGCACCACAAAGTTGGGGAAAGGGTGAAAAGAACTTAATGTAGCCGAAGCTTGGCTTCGTTTGTACAGTCTATTGTGTTATCCTAGGAATAAATTTTTGTATGGCTGCAACCTGCATTGTATATCTGGTCAGACAGGTCAACAACTTAAAATGTGCTGGTTCAGTGTGGAAAGGAGGAAAGGCACCATGATTGGTCAGTGCTCAGGGCACCAGGGAGCCTTCATCCGCCCCTGGGTTTACCAGATGCCCCTCAATGTTTCTCTTTTTTAAAATGATTATTATTACTTTATTGCAAAAGAGTCAAGAACAGTAACAAATGCAAAAAGTTAATCAGTCCATACATCTCAGTACATATAATACTACATCAAGGATATTATTACATTAACAAAATGAAGGTCATAGAGAATACAAAACCAGAGGGGGAAAAATAAATTTCCAGTTTCAAAAACAGCTACTTTTTAGGACAAACTAACCAGAATCTTTGTTCAGCTGGATCTGTTTGGTAAGATGTTCAAACACACACAACAAAAAATGACGACAGAGTAAGGCTCGGACACACCCTTTCTGGAGAACGGAATGCGCAGGCCTTGTCGTTTTGTCCCCATATGAAATTAACGAGCATCTTCTGCACTTTGGTCATGAATAACAGAATCAGACTATAATAAATATCCAAAGATGAATAAAATTTTGACAGGTTAATCAATTTATGCACTATAAGTCACACAACCCTGCAGTGATGCCTTCTCAATGACTAGGTCAATAAGCATATTATCAATATAGCCTTGGAATATGGAAAAAATACTTATTTTACTCTCATCATATAAATGGCCAGAAGAAACTGGGAGACGAAAAAGTAAATAAAACTTTAGAAAGAAAAGAAATGCTCTCTCACACACATTTTAAAACAACAGCTTTGAGTGTAATGATTGTTTAAAAATATATACACACATCTGCTAGGTTTACTAGGTTATTTTTCTATATTATTTGAAATCTGAGTCAGTCAGTCACATACTAGGAGAACCTGTCAGCTTAGGACAAGCTTTTAATATATACTTCTGCACTTGCCCTTCAGCAGGGCTATTTTTGGGCAGGAACGCACAGGAATGGAGTTCCGGCTGGCTCCTGAGTTGGCCAGGCCCAGCAGGAGCTCATTAGCATAACAGGCCACACCCAACAGCAGGAACTCATTGGAATTGGCTACATCAGGGGTGTGTGGCCTAACATGCAAAGGAGTTCCTGCTACAAAAAAACCCCTGGGTTTTGACAACAAACAAGGTAAACAGAATAAGAAGCAAAAGGTGGGTGTTGCTGGATGACCACACTTCTGGTAACATGGGGGTATGGCCTAATATGCTAATGAGCTGTACTATCAGGGGTGTGGCCTAATATGCCTAATTATGCTAATGAGTTCCTGCTGGGCTTTTTCTACCAAAAGAGCCCTGCCCGTCAGTGTTTCCGTGCCACCAGCACACATGCTTCCTTGGCATCGTACAAAGTCCCCGGGAAGCAGAGCTGGCTCATTTCCAGCCACTCGATATCAAAGCCAGCCTCTTTCACACTTTCTTCCACAGATTCCCGATCCAGGTAAAGGCAAGAGAACTGGCGCTGGCCAACCATGTAGAAAGTTTCTTCCAGGATGGCCAATAGAACCAAACGCCCTCCAGGTTTTACGAGGGAGCTGATGTTCTTCAGGGCAGCGCGGTAGGCGGGCAGGTCTTTGCAAGCCCCTTCTAGGCACAAGGCGGAGAGCAGGCAGTCGGCCGGAGGGAGAGAGAGCGGGGCCAAAGGGTTGGGCTGGGTCACGTCGCACTTCAGGACTCGCTTGACGGTTCTTCGGACCTTCTCCTCCTTCTGGGCCCACTCTTCCCTGGAGCAGAACAAAAGGTGAATGGGACAACCTCGCCACCCTAAAACCTGCATCAGATGTCCTCCCCTTCAAACGCCTGTTCTTACAGCCGTGGACATCACATGATCATCAAGAACTGCAAGGGGCTCGAGCCAGAACCCCTCCCTGTCCCTGGGCAGACCCAGCACAGCTACTCCGCAGGCCCAACGGCTACAGCTTGCTTCAAACCGGGTCAGCGGCATTTTCCCTCCTGAGATTAGTTGACCGGGTTTCTGGCTGGGGTTGCCAGCTCCAGGTTGGGAAATACCTGGATGTTTTGGAGGTGGAGCCTGTGGAGGACGGAGTTTGGGGAGGGACGTCAATGGGGTATAACGCCACAGAGTTCCCCTTCCGAAGAGGCCATTTTCTCCAGAGGAACTGATCTCTGCTAACAACAGTTGTTCTAATCTAATCTTGTTTGATCTTCCCAGGAACCTTTCAAGCAGCGGGCTGATGATTTCCTTTCAGCTCGCCGTATGCAAAGAGCAGTTTGAAAATATGTGCTCCAGAGAGTCCATTTCAGTCCAGGAACAGGTGCAGAGCCTGCGCACGTAAGGGAAGAGAGCAGCTCTGAGAGAACTTGTGATCGACCCAAGGTCACACCAGCAGCTGCCTGTGGAGCAGTGGGGAATCAAATCTGGTTCTCCCAGATTAGAGTCCGCACTCCTAACCACTACACCAAACTGGCTCTCAAACCACTACACCAAACCGACACCTCGGTGGGGTATAATGCCACAGACCCCACCTTCCAAAGCAGTCATTTTCTCCAGGGGTTCTGTTCTCTGCCCCCTGGAGACCAGTTCTAATACTGGGAGGTCTCAAGGCCCCACCTGGAGGTTGGCAATCTTATTTCTCACCTACTGCTCCAAAGCTCGAGGCTTCTGCAGTGTGAACTTTCACGACCGCCTCCTTGGTCGCAGCCCCCTCGGCCTCAGTTGGCCAAGAGCCCAGTAGGACCGGATATCTTTTTATAAAAAGTCTTTTATTCCACCCCTCCACTCGGGAGTCTTTTACCCCGGCAGAAGCTGCCACCTTCAAGCCAGTGCCTGCTTTTCCCTCACTCTCTTGAGCACCAGGAGCTGGGAATATGTGCATGTGCATGTGAGGACTGCCAACCTCCCGGTGGCAGCCAGAGTTCTCCCGGAATTACAACTGAAAAGTACGCAGACAGAGAGTGATTTCAGCAAAGTGTACTTTATTCGATCAGGAACAAGATGACTTTGGCTGGCTCGCAGGCCGGCTTATATCCCCCGAGAAACCGCCACCCAAAACACACCCCCACTTCCCAATAGGTTATTTACAGTGGCCGAGAGTCCCATAGGCTTCTTGGCCAGGAACCTAGCCCCCTGATTGGAGCGGGCTAGGATCCGCATAGTCCATTGTCTCTTGGAGCGAAGCTCGACGTTTGTGCCTGACCGCGTGGAGCCCAAGCTGGCCACGCGGTCTGGACTGGATACATTACAACAACTGATCTCCAGACGACAGAGATCAGTTCCCCTGGAGAAAACGGCTGCTTCGGAAGGCGGACTCTCTGGTACCACATCCCCGCTGAGCGTCTTCCCCTCCCTAAACTCTGCACTCCCCAGCCTCCAGCCCTCAAATCTCCAGGGATTTCCCAACCTGGAGATGGCAGCCCTAACCATACGAGAATTCGTGGGCACTCCATGAAATTGCTGAGCGGCCGGGTTAGA